CACTGACCCACAGCCACCTTAACACTGACCCACAGCCACCTTAACACTGACCCACAGCCACCTTAACACTGAACACTGACCCACAGCCACCTTGACACTGACCCACAGCCACCATGACACTGACCCACAGCCACCATGACACTGACCCACAGCCACCTTAACACTGACCCACAGCCACCATGACACTGACCCACAGCCACCATGACACTGACCCACAGCCACCATGACACTGACCCACAGCCACCATGACACTGACCCACAGCCACCTTAACACTGACCCACAGCCACCTTAACACTGACCCACAGCCACCTTAACACTGACCCACAGCCACCTTAACACTGACCCACAGCCACCTTAACACTGACCCACGACCACCTTAACAATGACCCACAGCCACCTTAACACTGACCCACAGCCACCATGACACTGACCCACAGCCACCTTAACACTGACCCACAGCCACCTTAACACTGACCCACAGCCACCATGACACTGACCCACAGCCACCATGACACTGACCCACAGCCACCTTAACACTGACCCACAGCCACCTTAACACTGACCCACAGCCACCTTAACACTGACCCACAGCCACCTTAACACTGACCCACAGCCACCTTAACACTGACCCACAGCCACCTTAACACTGACCCACAGCCACCTTAACACTGACCCACAGCCACCTTAACACTGACCCACAGCCACCTTAACACTGACCCACAGCCACCTTAACACTGACCCACAGCCACCTTAACACTGACCCACAGCCACCTTAACACTGACCCACAGCCACCTTAACACTGACCCACAGCCACCTTAACACTGACCCACAGCCACCTTAACACTGACCCACAGCCACCTTAACACTGACCCACAGCCACCTTAACACTGACCCACAGCCACCTTAACACTGACCCACAGCCACCTTAACACTGACCCACAGCCACCTTAACACTGACCCACAGCCACCTTAACACTGACCCACAGCCACCTTAACACTGACCCACAGCCACCTTAACACTGACCCACAGTCACCTTAACACTGACCCACAGCCACCTTAACACTGACCCACAGCCACCTTAACACTGACCCACAGCCACCTTAACACTGACCCCACACAGCCACCTTAACACTGACCCACACCTTAACACTGACCCACAGCCACCTTAACACTGACCCACAGCCACCTTAACACTGACCCACAGCCACCTTAACACTAACACTGACCCACAGCCACCTTAACACTGACCCACAGCCACCTTAACACTGACCCACAGCCACCTTAACACTGACCCACGACCACGTTAACAATGACCCACAGCCACCTTAACACTGACCCACAGCCACCTTAACACTGACCCACAGCCACCTTAACACTGACCCACAGCCACCTTAACACTGACCCACAGCCACCTTAACACTGACCCACAGCCACCTTAACACTGACCCACAGCCACCTTAACACTGACCCACAGCCACCTTAACACTGACCCACAGCCACCTTAACACTACCACGTTAACTGACCCACAGCACTGACCCACTTAACACTGACCCACAGCCACCTTAACACTGACCCACAGCCACCTTAACACTGACCCACAGCCACCTTTGACCCACGACCACGTTAACTGACCCACAGCCACCTTAACACTGACCCACAGCCACCTTAACACTGACCCACAGCCACCTTAACACTGACCCACAGCCACCTTAACACTGACCCACAGCCACCTTAACACTGACCCACAGCCACCTTAACACTGAGCCCCACAGACCCACCACCTTAACACTGACCCACAGCCACCTTAACACTGACCCACAGCCACCTTAACACTGACCCACAGCCACCTTAACACTGACCCACAGCCACCTTAACACTGACCCACAGCCACCTTAACACTGACCCACAGCCACCTTAACACTGACCCACAGCCACCTTAACACTGACCCACAGCCACCTTAACACTGACCCACAGCCACCTTAACACTGACCCACAGCCACCTTAACACTGACCCACAGCCACCTTAACACTGACCTTAACACTGACCCACCACCTTAACACTGACCCACAGCCACCTTTGACCCACAGCCAACACTGACCCACAGCCACCTTAACACTGACCCACAGCCACCTTAACACTGACCCACAGCCACCTTAACACTGACCCACAGCCACCTTAACACTGACCCACAGCCACCTTAACACTGACCCACAGCCACCTTAACACTGACCCACAGCCACCTTAACACTGACCCACAGCCACCTTAACACTGACCCACAGCCACCTTAACACTGACCCACAGCCACCTTAACACTGACCCACAGCCACCTTAACACTGACCCACAGCCACCTTAACACTGCCACCTTAACACTGACCCACAGCCACCTTAACACTGACCCACAGCCACCTTAACACTGACCCACAGCCACCTTAACACTGACCCACAGCCACCTTAACACTGACCCACAGCCACCTTAACACTGACCCACAGCCACCTTAACACCCACAGCCACCTTAACACTGACCCACACACCTTAACACTGACCCACAGCCACTTAACACTGACCCACAGCCACCTTAACACTGACCCACACACCTTAACACTGACCCACAGCCACCTTAACACTGACCCACAGCCACCTTAACACTGACCCACAGCCACCTTAACACTGACCCACAGCCACCTTAACACTGACCCACAGCCACCTTAACACTGACCCACAGCCACCTTAACACTGACCCACAGCCACCTTAACACTGACCCACAGCCACCTTAACACTGACCCACAGCCACCTTAACACTGACCCACAGCCACCTTAACACTGACCCACAGCCACCTTAACACTGACCCCACAGCCACCTTAACACTGACCCACAGCCACCTTAACACTGACCCACAGCCACCTTAACACTGACCCACACTGACCCACAGCCACCTTAACACTGACCCACAGCCACCTTAACACTGACCCACAGCCACCTTAACACTGACCCACAGCCACCTTAACACTGACCCACAGCCACCTTAACACTGACCCACAGCCACCTTAACACTGACCCACAGCCACCTTAACACTGACCCACAGCCACCTTAACACTGACCCACAGCCACCTTAACACTGACCCACAGCCACCTTAACACTGACCCACAGCCCCTTAACACTGACCCACCACCTTAACACTGACCCACAGCCACCTTAACACTGACCCACAGCCACCTTAACACTGCCACCTTAACACTGACCCACAGCCACCTTAACACTGACCCACAGCCACCTTAACACTGACCCACAGCCACCTTAACACTGACCCACAGTCACCTTAACACTGACCCACAGCCACCTTAACACTGACCCACAGCCACCTTAACACTGACCCACAGCCACCTTAACACTGACCCACAGCCACCTTAACACTGACCCACAGCCACCTTAACACTGACCCACAGCCACCTTAACACTGACCCACAGTCACCTTAACACTCACCTTAACACTGACCCACAGTCACCTTAACACTGACCCACAGCCACCTTAACACTGACCCACAGCCACCTTAACACTGACCCACAGCCACCTTAACACTGACCCACAGTCACCTTAACATTGACCCACGACCACGTTACCATGACCCACAGCCACCTTAACACTGACCCACAGCCACCTTAACACTGACCCACAGCCACCTTAACACTGACCCACAGCCACCTTAACACTGACCCACAGCCACCTTAACACTGACCCACAGCCACCTTAACACTGACCCACAGCCACCTTAACACTGACCCACAGTCACCTTAACACTGACCCACAGTCACCTTAACACTGACCCACACCTTAACACTGACCCACAGCCACCTTAACACTGACCCACAGCCACCTTAACACTGACCCACACCCACAGCCACCTTAACACTGACCCACAGTCACCTTAACACTGACCCACAGTCACCTTAACACTGACCCACAGCCACCTTAACACTGACCCACAGCCACCTTAACACTGACCCACAGCCACCTTAACACTGACCCACAGCCACCTTAACACTGACCCACAGTCACCTTAACACTGACCCACAGCCACCTTAACACTGACCCACAGCCACCTTAACACTGACCCACAGCCACCTTAACACTGACCCACAGTCACCTTAACATTGACCCACGACCACGTTAACAATGACCCACAGCCACCTTAACACTGACCCACAGCCACCTTAACACTGACCCACAGCCACCTTAACACTGACCCACAGCCACCTTAACACTGACCCACAGTCACCTTAACACTGACCCACAGCCACCTTAACACTGACCCACAGCCACCTTAACATTACAGTAACTGCAATGTTGTTGTTTAAGATTTGCTACTTGGAACCAAAAGTTCCAAGTAGCACGGGCTATGGTGAGCCCGAGTAACTACAAGGTAATATTTCTCCCCCTCACTAACGTGTACACAAGCTCCTCCCCTTATTTACACCTTCACATGATCCTACCGCGGCCCCTTATCCCTCTCCCTACCTCCTCCCCCCCCCACACACACACACTGTATTCAAATCTTATTCAAATCCATTCAAATACGTGCATACGAAATCCGATCAGTCGACAATCGGCGCTAATCATATTACGCTCCGGCCTCTCGCCTCCTCCAACTGGCTGTCTATCACGGCTTTGATCAGACGCCGGCGACCCGTTTTTTACACGTGAGGCGCCATAATGAGGGGAGGGCCCGGGTGAATGGCGCCTAGCACAGAGCGAGAGTAAACACGCCCGCCCAACACATGACAGCCGAGCCCCCCAGCAACACTGGCGCAGTTTCCGCTCGCCTCCACGTTTTCTGTGACGAGCATGAATGGCGAGGGAGACTTTATCAATATTCATCGTTGAGCTCTTGATGGGCACAAAAACTTGAGTAATTACTCTGTCAGTCGCTGTCAGAGGTGGCGCGTAAGCTCAGATCACTCAATTAAAAAACTGATACGTCTTTTTCAGCGCTCAATTAGAATTTTGTGGCCGTACTGACAACAGTGGCAGCCATGAGAAGCAGGCTATGGTGGTGATTACTCTTTGCTCACTTGAATGCTTGGTCACTGGTCTGCTCTGTTGGTCTGCTCTGTTGGTCTGCTCTGTTGGCCTGCTCTGTTGGTCTGCTCTGTTGGCCTGCTCTGTTGGCCTGCTCTGTTGGTCTGCTCTGTTGGCCTGCTCTGTTGGTCTGCTCTGTTGGTCTGCTCTGTTGGTCTGCTCTGTTGGTCTGCTCTGTTGGCCTGCTCTGTTGGTCTGCTCTGTTGGCCTGCTCTGTTGGTCTGCTCTGTTGACCTTCTCTGCTTGCCTGTGGTGTTGACCTTCTCTGCTTGCCTGTGCTGTTGACCTTCTCTGCTTGCCTGTGCTGTTGACCTTCTCTGCTTGCCTGTGCTGTTGACCTTCTCTGCTTGCCTGTGGTGTTACCCTTCTCTGCTTGCCTGTGATGTTGACCTTCTCTGCTTGCCTGTGCTGTTGACCTTCTCTGCTTGCCTGTGGTGTTGACCGTCTCTGCTTGCCTGTGGTGTTGACCTTCTCTGCTTGCATGTGCTGTTACCCTTCTCTGCTTGCCTGTGGTGTTGACCGTCTCTGCTTGCCTGTGGTGTTGACCGTCTCTGCTTGCCTGTGGTGTTGACCTTCTCTGCTTGCCTGTGGTGTTGACCTTCTCTGCTTGCCTGTGCTGTTACCCTTCTCTGCTTGCCTGTGGTGTTGACCTTCTCTGCTTGCCTGTGGTGTTGACCTTCTCTGCTTGCCTGTGGTGTTGACCGTCTCTGCTTGCCTGTGCTGTTGGTCTACTCTGCTTGCCTGTGCTGTTGGTCTACTCTGCTTGCCTGTGCTGTTGGTCTACTTTGCTTGCCTGTGCTGTTGGTCTACTCTGCTTGCCTGTGCTGTTGGTCTACTCTGCTTGCATGCATCCTAGCATCTGCTTGCCTGCTTTGCTTCCATTTCCGTCAGATACAACAGCTGAGGAATTCGCAGAGCAGATGCACAAAATAGGTTATCCTTGATAACCTAGCAAATCCAGTGCCAGATATCTTCCTTGCAGACTTCAATTTACTTCATTTGAGGACTTCAGTTTAAGTTTGAGAATGACAACAATAATAATATAGCAGGAAATCAACTTGATATTGACAATGATGAACTAATCAGACACATTACAATCACAAAACCTACAGACTCAGACCACAAGTTCATTGACGTTCAAACTAACATTAATACCTGCAGAAGGGCCGAGAGGATCAATAAGCCAGAAAGTTTATTACACTCTTAAATCAATTCAATTTCAACAATAAGAGTGTCAACTGGGAAAAAAATATAGACCTTGCAACCATTCAATGGGAGACGGTGTTAAGCGACGTAACTCCCACACAGGGAATAGCTCAACTGACAGCTGAAGCTTACAAGGTCTGCTTGAAGCACGTGCCTGTGAGGAGGGGCAGAAAGAGGACCACTCTAGACAGAGAACGCAGACGACTGTACAGGAGGAAAGAAATCACGGAAATGGTTAAACAGACACAACTATCACAAGCAAGGAAAATAAGCGTAAACAGGGAGATCGAAGGAATAGAACATACGTTGAAGCGATCATACGAGTCTGAGGAAATGGAAATGGAAGAGAAAGCTATACAAGAGAGAAAGAAAAATACAAAATATTTTTCACATATGTAAAATCAAAATAAAAACGTCCTCCCGTATTGGACCTTCACATACAACTGAAGGTTCATACACGGAGGACAACAAGGAGATTAATGCAATACTAAAAGGCCAGTATATGAGGCTATGCTTAGCGCCCAATACCAGCAGCACTTAAACCAGCAGATATACCTCCACTGCACAAGGGAGGCAGCAAAGCCTTGGCAAAAAAAAAACAATAGGCCAGTTGCACAAACGTCACATATAATACAAGTTGATGAAAGAGTGATTAGGAATCAAATCTCCAGTTTTATGGAAAACAATGAACTTGACAACCCAGGACAGCACGGTTTTAGCGCGGGAAGATCCTGTCTTTGGCAACTACTCAACCACTATGACACAATCACAGAAACGTTAGAAGAAAAACAAAATGCAGATGTTGTATACACAGATTTGTCAAAGACCTCTGGTACACGTGACTATGGGGTGATAGTCCATAAAATGAGATCAATGGGAATAACGGGTAAAGTGGGGCGTTGGATTTTCAACTTTCTGTCAAACAGAATGAAGAGAATAACAGTCAATCAAATATGATCAAGTTTAAGTGCAGTGAAAAGCTCTGTACCCCGGGGCACAGTCCTTGCACCGCTGCTATTTCTCATTCTTATCTCGGATATAGACAAGAATACTGCTCACAGCTTCGTGTCATCCATTGCTGAAGATACAAAAATCAGCAAGAAATTTTCCCCTGTAGAAGACATTGAAAACCTGCAGGTAGATATTAATAAAGTCTTCGATTGGGCAACGGAAAATAGCATGATGTTTAACAGTGATAAGTTCAAGGTACTTAAGTACGGTATAAAAAAAAGGAACTTGAACTAAGTACAGGACACAATCAGACCTACTCATAGAAGGAAAGTAACATGTAAAAGATCTGGGAATTATGATGTCTGACGACCTGACATTTAGTGAACATAACCGAGCAAATATAGCGGCGGCGGCGGCCAGGAACATGATAGGATGGATTATGAGAACGTTCACATCCAGAGACTCCACAGCAATGTTAATACTGTTTAAATCACTGGTGGTGTCCCGTCTTGAGTACTGCTCGGTACTCACTTTCCCTTTCAGAGTGGGAGAGATCAATAAATTAGAGGGAATACAGAGAACATATACGGCACGCGTAGACACGGTAAAACATCTGAATTATTGGGACCGTCTCAAAGCTCTTAAAATGTACTCACTGGAAAGGCGACGAGAGAGGTATCAAATAATATATACATGGAAGATAATGGAAGGCCAGGTCCCAAATTTTCACAGTAGAATAACAACATACTGGAGCGAAAGGTACGGAAGGAAATGCAGAATAGAACCAGTGAGGAGTAGAGGTGGTAGGAGGGAGGTGACCAGAGAACACTGTCTGAACATCACAGGTCCACAGCTGTTCAACACCCTCCCAGCAAGCATTAGAAATATTGCTGCACCAAAGGTGGATTTATTCAAGAGGCACTTAGACAAGTTCTTGCAAGTGCCGGACCCACCAGGCTGTTGTGAATATGTGGGCCTGCGGCCCGCTCCAAGCAACAGTCTGTTGGACCAAACTCTCACAAATCGAGCCTGATCTCAGGTCGGGCTCGGGTAGTAGTAGTCTTGAAACCTTCTCCAGGTTGACTTTGTTGTTGGACTATGCTTGCCTGTGTTGCAGGACTATGCTTGCCTGTGTTGTTGGACTATGCTTGCCTGTGTTGCTGGACTATGCTTGCCTGTGTTGTTGGACTATGCTTGCCTGTGTTGCTGGACTATGCTTGCCTGTGTTGTTGGACTATGCTTGCCTGTGTTGCTGGACTATGCTTGCCTGTGTTGTTGGACTATGCTTGCCTGTGTTGCTGGACAATGCTTGCCTGTGTTGCAGGACTATGCTTGCCTGTGTTGTTGGACTATGCTTGCCTGTGTTGTTGGACTATGCTTGCCTGTGTTGCTGGACTATGCTTGCCTGTGTTGTTGGACTATGCTTGCCTGTGTTGTTGGACTATGCTTGCCTGTGTTGCTGGACTATGCTTGCCTGTGTTGCTGGACTATGCTTGCCTGTGTTGTTGGACAATGCTTGACTGTGTTGCTGGACTATGCTTGCCTGTGTTGCTGGACTATGCTTGCCTGTGTTGTTGGACTATGCTTGCCTGTGTTGTTGGACTATGCTTGCCTGTGTTGTTGGACAATGCTTGACTGTGTTGCTGGACTATGCTTGCCTGTGTTGTTGGACTATGCTTGCCTGTGTTGCAGGACTATGCTTGCCTGTGTTCTTGGACTATGCTTGCCTGTGTTGCTGGACTATGCTTGCCTGTGTTGTTGGACTATGCTTGCCTGTGTTGCTGGACTATGCTTGCCTGTGTTGTTGGACTATGCTTGCCTGTGTTGCTGGACTATGCTTGCCTGTGTTGTTGGACTATGCTTGCCTGTGTTGCTGGACTATGCTTGCCTGTGTTGTTGGACTATGCTTGCCTGTGTTGCTGGACTATGCTTGCCTGTGTTGTTGGACTATGCTTGCCTGTGTTGCTGGACTATGCTTGCCTGTGTTGTTGGACTATGCGTGCCTGTGTTGCTGGACTATGCTTGCCTGTGCTGCTGGACTATGCTTGCCTGTGTTGCTGGACTATGCTTGCCTGTGTTGCTGGACTATGCTTGCCTGTGCTGCTGGACTATGCTTGCCTGTGCTGCTGGACTATGCTTGCCTGTGTTGCTGGACTATGCTTGTCTGTGTTGCTGGACTATGCTTCCTTGTGTTGCTGGACTATGCTTGCCTGTGTTGCTGGACTATGCTGAACTGTGCTGCTGGACTATGTTTGCCTGTGCTGCTGGACTATGCTTGCCTGTGCTGCTGGACTATGCTTGCCTGTGTTGCTGGACTATGCTGAACTGTGCTGCTGGACTATGTTTGCCTGTGCTGCTGGACTATGCTTGCCTGTGCTGCTGGACTATGCTTGCCTGTGTTGCTGGACTATGCTTGCCTGTGCTGCTGGACTATGCTTGACTGTGTTGCTGGACTATGATTGACTGTGCTGCTGGACTATGCTTGACTGTGCTGCTGGACTATGCTTGACTGTGCTGCTGGACTATGCTTGACTGTGCTGCTGGACTATGCTTGACTGTGCTGCTGGACTATGCTTGACTGTGCTGCTGGACTATGCTTGACTGTGCTGCTGGACTATGCTTGACTGTGTTGCTGGACTATGCTTGACTGTGCTGCTGGACTATGCTTGACTGTGTTGCTGGACTATGCTTGACTGTGTTGCTGGACTATGCTTGACTGTGCTGCTGGACTATGCTTGACTGTGCTGCTGGACTATGCTTGACTGTGCTGCTGGACTATGCTTGACTGTGCTGCTGGACTATGCTTGACTGTGCTGCTGGACTATGCTTGACTGTGCTGTTGGACTATGATTGACTGTGCTGCTGGACTATGCTTGACTGTGTTGCTCGACTATGCTTGACTGTGCTGCTGGACTATGCTTGACTGTGCTGCTGGACTATGCTTGACTGTGCTGCTGGACTATGCTTGACTGTGCTGCTGGACTATGCTTGACTGTGCTGCTGGACTATGCTTGACTGTGTTGCTCGACTATGCTTGACTGTGCTGTTGGACTATGCTTGACTGTGCTGCTGGACTATGCTGGACTGTGCTGCTGGACTATGCTTGACTGTGCTGCTGGACTATGATTGACTGTTGCTGGACTATGCTTGACTGTGTTGCTGGACTATGCTTGACTGTGCTGTTGGACTATGCTTGACTGTGCTGCTGGACTATGCTTGACAGTGTTGCTGGACTATGCTTGCCTGTGCTGCTGGACTATGTTTGCCTGTGTTGCTGGACTATGCTTGCCTGTGCTGCTGGACTATGCTTGCCCGTGTTGCTGGGC